CACATCTGCAAACACCACCATCAAGCACAAGCCCAATGATGACTGAAATTCCTCAGAAGTCATGGAATGTGGAGTGACAGGAAACATAAAATGGGGGAGCTAGACTGTCCTTCATTTACCTGGACCCCGGAATTGATGTGAGAAGTTTATTAGTGATCCATTGGGTTGACTATTGCCTGCACACTTCTCCTTATATCTTCAGTAAGAGGGCTGGTAACTTACTTCTATTTTAATAAAAGCTGAACAGACACAGAAAGGGGTGGAATATTTCACACCAGACCTTGTGGCTTACCTGATTTTATGGCAGAGATGGTCTCTCAGTTTTCATCAGCCCCTGCTAGCATGGCCAGTGCTTAGGAATGATGGGAGTTGGAGCCCAATGAAACATTTGGAGAGCTACAGGTTTTAAGCCACAAGATGCTTGCAGGTGTAACCAGATTTCTTGTCTTGTGTGGTTTGAGAGAACAGACCTGGATGTTTCCCCACCCCTTTCAAGTAGTTTATGCACATTTAATAGTCAGTTCCCTTAGCAGAGAAACTCAGTGTGACCCTTGCTCGCAACATTAACTGGAACAAAGTTTTCTCTCTCGTGTGCGGTTTGGTTACACTCTGAATGATTTCCTACCTCTGTCATAAAGGATGGATGAAAAAACACCAGGGAGGAAACATATACAGTGAGCACTTAAGAAGCTTGACTTGTTAGCCTCTGTCCTGCTTGCCTTCCAAAGCCCAATATGTAAGCAAAGCAGCTTCTACTTCAGCTATAGGTTTGGGGCTCCATTGACTGCCATCTGAACCATCTTAGAAAATGCTCTGATCACACACAGAGAGAAAACTGTTGCAGAAGATTCCCTAGATCACATCTTTCATTCCTTTTTGTGAGTTACCATAAGAAACAAAATCTGGCAATGGGGTGAAACATGCGGCAGTTCCTCATTCTTGCAGGGCTTATCCACACTTACCTTTCCTCTGTACTTTCCAGGCATGGTCCCCACTTTTAAGCTCCATGTCCAAGCAACAATCTGCTGAAAATTTTGTTTGTTGCACTTCAGCTTTAAAGACTGGGTTTTTGTGAGGAAAGCTCTGGGGCAAATAAAACAAGTGCTTGGACCCAGAGCTTTAAAGCACAAATTGTGCCTGGAAAGGTAAAGGTAAAGGTAAAGGGATCCCTGACCATTAGGTCCAGTCGTGACCGACTCTGGGTTTGCGGTGCTCATGTCGCTTTATTGGTCGAGGGAGCAGGCGCACAGCTTCTGGGTCATGTGGCCATGACTAAGCTGCTTCTGGCGAACCAGAGCAGTGCACGGAAACACCGTTTACCTTCCTGCCGAGCTGCACCTATTTATCTACTTGCATTTTGATGTGCTTTCGAACTGCTAGGTTGGCAGGAGCAGGGACCGAGCAACGGGAGCTCACCCTGTCGCGGGGATTCGAACCGGCTGACCTTCTGATAGGCAGTCCTAAGGCTCTGTGGTTTAACCCACAGCGCCAGAGCAGGGCAAAAAGTAAGTGTAGATAAATTCACAGGCAGGAGTTGCATGGATCTGAATAACAACCTCAGATTACTAACAACACAAAAACCAGGTCTTCTGAGGTTTGGGGGGAGTATAGGCTTCCTTCTGGCCCTAATTGATGCTCATTTCCAAGCCCCCCAACTGGATTAGGATACAGCTCTCCTGAGAGAAATACACACACCACACACACCACACTGGCTTTTCTTTCACTTTCCAAGCATTTCCCCCCTTTCTTTTTCCCTGTCACTCACTGCAATGGATTACAGCTGGGACTGTCTGAGTAAGTATTGGACCAGGGGCTGCATTGAAGAAGGTAGGATTCTGCTGCTAACATTTTCTGTGCTGACGACAGCAAAAGTGGGTGGCAAATAGAATCTGTGTTGGGGGGAGCTTAATTGAATTTAACGGGTGGTATCTGATGCCTCGTTCCATTAATGAAATGGAACTTTCTCTTCTTTTCCGCAGACCCACCCTATGCACTCTCTAAATGTGCTCCGAGGGGTAAGGGAAATCCCAGTTCAGGTTTAGGGGCACACAGGGGAAGTTCTGTTGTGCAAACGTAAATCCTTAGCGCTACAAGAGATTTAGCACTACTTGTTGTTCAAGCCAGCATGTTTTGAATTGCTTTTGGCGCCTAGGTGTGTTTCTCATGGACTAAGGAGGTGGCTGCTATTCCTGAAGTACTATCACTCATTTCACGCCTTGTTTCCTCTCTGTCAGCAATTATTCCCCAAGAGCTCACTGTCAGTTCGCTACTTTCCAGATAGCACCTTTGAGGACATGCTTTGTACAGGCAATAGTTTATCAATGGTTTCATGTAGAGGTTTTCAACCTTTCTGAGTCCACGGCTTCCCTTGACCAACTACATTCTTTCGGTTGCACCCCTGTGGGGCTCAGGAGCCCAGTTATGTCACCTCTTGCCTGAAGAGCTGGCAGCCGCTCACCCCCTTTCGAACCCTCTCCCTTATGGATTGTTCTCTCAGCCTTCTTTCTTCTCCCTCTCCTTAGGAGTCCTCTGGGCAGCTGGAGCTGCCACCCCCTGGTCTCTGAGCTGCCCCGCCCCCAAGAGATTTGCCTCCTCCCACTGCTCCACCCCCTGGCTAGCCTCAAAGGCATCCTTCACCCTGGGAGCTTGTAGCCAGGGCTGCTGAAACAAACAGCTGTGCAAGCCTTTGGGAGCAGAGATGTGAGAGGGCATCAGAGATGGGAGGGAAGGAAAGAGGCAGGCATTTGGGGGCATGGTTGAGGCAGGCTGAAGCTAGCGGGGCAGTGCACCACCCACCCCAATGCAATAGTCTCCTCTGTTTAATAGTTATTCCATATCCCAGAAAGCCCTGGGCAATGTACAATTCCCAGGATTCGAGTGGGGGGGTATTGACTATGGAAACCTTGCATAAAAGGCACCCTGTATGGCAAGAATGATAAGACTATTGATGGCTGCTAGCCATGATACTATCTCCAATAGTAGATGTAGAAAATAGGTATGTCTCTTGATACCAGTTGATGGAAACAACAAGCAGGGAAGAGTCCTGTTCATGGTCTTCCCAGAGGCATCTAGCTGGCGACTGTGAAAGCAAAAAGCTGGTCTAAGATGGATCTTTGGCTTGATCCTGCAGGACTCTTTGTATGTTATTAGGCCAAAGATTTTTTTTTTTAAATGCTGCCATGCTGACATTTTTGAAGTACTAAAACACAGAAAGAAGAGCTGGTCACTCTGTCCATGGAGGGAAATGCAGGGTGTGATGGTTTTAAGGTATAGAAAGACAGATTTAGGTTATAGCTGAGAGTTTCCAATACATAAGTGGAGCTCAGAATTCATTCATACATTCATTTTATTTGTATGCTGCTTTTGCACACACAAAAGAAGAAATCATGCTCCAAGCAGCTTACAATAAACAGGGATGCATTTCAAACAAACACTACAAAAACGACTTCATAATAACATAGCAAAACAAAAACATAATATGCAAAAGCATATTTCAGTACTATAAATATAACAAAATTACTTAACCAGCATGCTGTATCCCATAGCAAAAATAACAAGGGAGCTTCAAAGTTTCACCTTAGTCCTAGAAACACCCCTCCCCTGATGTTGGAATATTGGAACCTATGGAGATTGTGGATATTTATTTTCCCCATCTGGGGCTTGTTACCTACGTCAGCATATGAAAAGTTAGCATTGTGGAATGTCAGCTCTTGGTAATCAAGCTTACTCTGGGGAGGAACGAAACTGAGTACTAGAAAGTGGGGTGGGCGAGTATGAGGTTTGGGGAGGGGAAATAAGTTGATCAGCATTGATAGAAGCCTGTCTGTCTCTCAGCGCTTGGTAAGGATGAATATGCCAATCTCAAATGATGACTTGAGCGTCCACTTCACATCTACGCTGATGGCCTTGATCCGCACTGCCCTGGAAATCAAACTTGCATCAGGTGAGACAACAGCAGCTGGCTTAAAATATCATAATTGCGTGAATAGGAATGAATGGGGAATGGGGATGGAGACTTTGGCCCATACGTTTTCAAAACTGATGTATGGAAATGGGCAAATTTCAGATTTTAAAGCAAGATATCTGAGCAAATTTCCACTTTACTAGACCAGGACCTCCAGATGTTGTTGGACTATATTTCCCATAATCCCTGAACATGCCGGCCTAGGGTCATTGGAACTCTGAGTCAAGAAAACATCTGGAGGATCACAGGTTCCATAGCCCTGCATTAGCTTCATCAAGCTCAGTGGTAGCACATCTACTTTGTATGTAGAAGATCCCTGGTTCAATACTCCATGTCTCCAAGGACCTCCTTTCTGAAACCTGTACTGCCAATCAGTGCAGACTGAGCTAAATCAACCAGTGATCTGATTCAGTACTTTGGTCCATTCTGGAAGAGCTTCTCTCTTCAGAGAATTAGTAAGAGCGTTGACATTGCCCAGTCTTCTTCCCCTCCATGGAAGAGGGGCTATTCTCTACTGTGCTCTCTTTTTCCCCTTTTCAAGCTTCCTGCAGAGTAGGAATAACACCCTTCCTCATAACAATACCCTCCCCAAAGGGTAGGAATAATGCCTTTCCTTGGGGCCATCCAAGAAAGCTGAGTGCTTGCAGATTCAGGGCAGGCAAAAGAAAGTACTTCACATAATAGTTAAGCTATAGGATTTGTTCTCACACAATCTCATGATGGCCACCAATTTAGAAGGCTTTAAAAGAAGTTTATACAAATTCGTGGAGGGTATGTTTTATCAATGGCTACTAGTCATAACAGCTGGCTATATTACCTCCCGTATCAGAGGCATATCTGAATGTCAGATATTGGGAATCATGTGGTCCTTCCTGTGGGCTTCCCATTGGGACATCTGGTTGATCACTTCAAGAAAAGGCATACTTTGCTTTATAAGCCTTTGCTCTGGTCCAGCACGGAGCCTGGTCTGTGAGTGAAACGTTTTCTTCCTTTATATCACCTGGCCCATGGCATGGCAGGGGTCCTGCAGCTCCAGTGTGACATCGAGCTGAGGAAGGAGATCTCGCTAGTTTGGCCCAATCTTTCACCAAAGACCTTGGATCTGCTAGTACCACCTCATAAACGTAAGTCCCATATTTCCCTTTGTACCACATTGATGGCATAAGCATTAACATTTACACTGAGAAGTGTTTTAGCAGGGATAGGCAAGCTATGGGGATGCTTCAGCAAAACAAGGGAAAAGGACATCTTCCCGAATTCCTCTTCTTGATGTGCTGTACAGTGCTTTAAGGGCTTAGGCCCAGGCCTGGCTGTCAGTACTTTATTGCTATATACTAGATGGGAAGATAAGGAGAGTAGGAAAAAGGTCACTGCACAAGGGCCTCCACTCTGATCTAGGTGTCAATCTGTTACTTTGCAGTGCCGCTGAATTGACTCGGGGAGATCCAGGTGCTGAATCTGTTCGGGAGCCCTACACAATCATGTGCTTGGGGGGCAGGAGTGAGATGGGGACCTGCTTCTCCTTCTCCCACCCCCCGGACTGCACTTATTTATTATTACATCTCTATCCCACCATTCCTCCAAGGAGTTCAAGATAGCATCCATGGTTCTCCTGCTCCCCACCCTATCCTTACAACAACCCTATGAGGCAAGCTAGTCTGACACTCCAACCACTACTCCATATTGTCTCTCCTACATGCCTCTGAATTTTGCAATGCAGTTCCCAGCCAATAAGTAAAAAAATTCATATATTGGGGGAAGGCATGCTTGAAAAGTATCACATTAGTATCGCATTATACTGGGGAAAATTGCTTGCAAAAAGCTGTATATTTGGATAAATTTTACACCAAAATGCAGATTGCTGTGGAGAACTAAATTTAAGATTGGAAATGGGAGGAATAATTTTTGGTGGCCTCATTTTGATTTTAAACAATAGGTACCAGGCTATCTGAGTTCGGTCTAAGAAAGAATTAGGATAGCTCCCCACCCCAGCTCATCAGCATCTAAGATTTCCATTCATACTGACTCCCCCTCCCACTGCCTTCACCTTTTGCTATTCACCAATTCTGTTCACCCCATCTTTTCCCCCTCTTATTTTGTTTTTCATTTTTTTGTTTCTTTGTCCAGCTGAAGCCATGACAGTGGGGAAAGTCTATGCAGCCTTGATGATATTTGACTTCTACAAACAGAACAAGAACACTCGAGATCCTGCCCATCCAGCGCCTGGAGGTCTTTGCCAGGTAAACAGTCTTTTGCACCCTTCACTGCCACTATGTCACTGTGGAGATCAACAATGAGCCAAACTTCACTGACCTGTAGGGGCAGTACAATCAGCTAATAGAATCTTGTTTAGTTTTACCATGGCCTGGTGGTTATTGGCTTGTAGTAACATATAACAAATCACATCTAACCTAGAGGTTACCAGAGCATAGACATCAGAAAATTGCAGTAGTTGCTCCTGCTTTTGCCTCTGGCCTTATCCTCCACTGGCGCTCAGGGTGAAAAAGGTATCCCACCCTTACACTAAACTGCAGCTCCCTACTAAGGAACAGATAAGATTTGCACAGCTTTATTGCTGAGGGATTTGCCAGGCAGGGATAAGGAGGAACCTCTGTCCAGTATAACTGCCAACCTCTACCTTTGTGGCAGCACTGTATGAATTGTTACCAGAGCAGATAATCCTTCCTTCCTTCCACCTTGCAGACTGGAACCGTGTCCCTTTTCCACCCGTTGAAAGCAGCGCTTGAACAAAGCCAGCCTTCAGTATTCCCCAATGCTTTCCTGCGCCAAAAGAGCTCCGCTTCTCTCAACAATGGAGGTGCCTTGTGAGTACCCAGAAAGTTCTCACTATTTTTGGCTAAATTCTCACTGAAGTGGCCGAGCTGGAGCTGTGCCTATTCAGAGTGCAGGTGGGGTGAAGGAGCTCACCTGATGGAATTTGTTTCTGCACACCAAAATTCCTTGCATTTAGAAAACTAGTGTCACAAGTTTTTTAGCTCAAGGGTGGATAAGCTGCAGTCAGTGATCAAGAATGATGGGAATCAAGAGTCCTACAACATACTGAGGCCTACAGCTTTCCCCATTTCTTTTTCTGTCTAACTTGCTCCCTGATACGCTGGTTTTCTAAGTGTGGAGATTGATTTCATTTTTTAAGATGGAGCAGTGTTCCATCATGTCTGTCCCCACCTGCAGTCTGAAGTTGCATGGCTTGAGCACAGGTTTGCCACCTGAGTGATAACTAGGTCCTTCTTAACCTGCAGCTGCTAACTACCTGACTTTGTGGTTTGTTTGTTTGTTGTTGTCTGCAAGGAAGGGTTTCCCCAGCCTGCTTTATCTACAGTATTGCATTATTTAGATATATGTGTTTTATTATGTATAACATGAAACAATACAAACAGCAAATAATGAGTATCAGTCACCAGGTATGAAGCAAAACACAGCATGATGAGTATAAAGCAGAAAATAATAGCATCAAATCACAGAATTGTAGAGTTGGAAGGAACCCTCAGAGTCGTCTGGTCCAATCCCCTGCAATACTGGAATCACAGCTAAAGAATCCCTCACAGAAATAAATATAAAGCAGCCATAATCAAAGTATATTTTGGTATGTTTGTCTGTACGTCACTCTACAGCATTTTGTAAGCTTATCAGTCAAAGCCATACCCTATCATACCAGCACTATTTTTCGAGAAATATAGAGAATTTCCCTCATTCTCTTAGAATGGCAATGGTGCCCACCTGAGAGGTGCCAGAACTAAGTTCCAGGGAGTTCTGGCCAAGAAAATCCCTCTGCATCTTTCTAATGTTACCCTAGCTCCATGCATGCTGCCAGAAGGAGGTGGTTTATAAGGTTCTTACAAGACAGATCATTGTTGCAACCTTATGAGTTAGGAGAGCAAAGCTAATCCTGGGTCCATTTCTGTGCTTTTGGACAAGTCCCACCAGAGACGGGGCAATGTACCAAGATTTTGGTATACAGTACAGTGGTACCTCGGGTTACAGATGCTTCAGGTTACAGACTCCGCTAACCCAGAAATAGTACCTCAGGTTAAGAACTTTGCTTCAGAATGAGAACAGAAATCGTGCAGTGGCAGCAGGAGGCCCCATTAGCTAAAGTGGTGCTTCAGGTTAAGAACAGTTTCAGGTTAAGAACGGACCTCTGGAACGAATTAAGTACTTATCCTGAGGTACCACTGTATTGCATTCTTTGCAAGTTCTCTCTCTCTCTCCCTCCCTTCCTTCCTCCCTTTCATGACAGACCAACGCCAGAGGGAGGAGGAATCAAGGAGTCTGTTTCATGGGGGACTCAACGGACTCAGGATGTGTTTTACGAAACGAGGACACCAGCATTTGAGCGTGGCCATTCAGAAGAAATTCCCACTGAGCAGACAAGCAAACAGGTGAAGGTTAAATGTACTGTTTTGGTACAGGAGGAGGCCTTCACTGGGCTAATCCCAAAAGCTCTGCTACACCAATGAAATGTACTTTCCAGTCTGCTATCATCTGGCAGAACAGAACAGCAGGCCTGGTCCAAGAAATGTTGCTCCCTAAGACAAAGGACAAGACCTCTCCCCCTTCCCATATTCTGTGTACTGAAGCCAGTGCTTGAAAAGGCAATTTAAAAAATGCAAACAATTTCTGACAGAAGGGAAGATTCTCCAACACATGCCCACAGCATGTGCCTTGATGCTTTATCCTGATTGCATCACCAGCCCCTAGCAAACTGGCCAGTTCCTCCTTATAAAGAAGCTGTGGAATCCAGTGTGCCTGAAACTTCCATTTTTTTGTTGAATTAATCTCAGTTTGGAATCTAAAGAAACATTGCATATGGATGCTAAAACAACTTTCCATTGATTACACTGCATGGAACACCCCATTGCAATTTAATTTATTATGCAATATTGCTTTATACAAGTGAAAGGTGCCCCAAAGTGATTTACAGGAAAATTGAACTGCCAAATTACATAATACAATATCATTGCATAAGAAGATTAAAAATTGACTGGCAGAGGGGCTGGAGCACTCCCTGCCACTGTAATGGAGTTGGTATCATTACCCTTGGGCCTACATTACTGAATCAGTGGCGTAGCATGGGGTGGGGGTGTCACTGGGTGCATGTTTTGAAGGGGCATACGTGGAAGCTGTGGAGACAGCTTCCTCACACAACAGCTCAATGGCACCAGCCACAGCTCCATTCCTAGGTCAAGTCTAACCTGGGCGCAGAGAGAGTAGAGTTGGTGGTAACACTGCCACCCACTTCCTGGGCTGTGGCAGCTTTCTTGCACCTGGCCACGGCTGCTCCACTTCCAGGGCAAGCCTGACCCAGGGGTGGACCCAGGGACGGAGAGAAAAGAGTAGGCAGCAATGCTGCAGCCCACTCTTCTGGTTTGCAATGCACAAGGGAGCAGCTCCACTCTTGGGTCAGGTCTGACCTGGGGGTGGAGAGTAGGAAGAAAGCTGGTAGCAGCTTCCTCACCCCTCTTCTCGCCTGGGCTGTAGCATGCAAGTGAGCTCCCCCATGCTGTTTTGCGAAGCAAGCCGCAGGGGGCTCCCTCTGCTCCCCATCCCCCTCGTGGATGTACCCCACATGCATGACCTGGGTGGCTTTAGCATATGCTCCACCACTGTGTTGAATTGTCGTGTATATAAATTGAATTGTCTTGGGTATAAAAAAGAAGTCACGTGGGTGGTGCTGTGGTCTAAGCCCCAGAGCCTGGGGCTTGCCGATCGGAAGGTTGGCAGTTCTAATCCCTTCAACAGGGTGAGCTCCTGTTGTTTGGTCCCAGCTCCTGCCCACCTAGTTCGAAAGCACATCAAGTGCAAGTAGATAAATAGGTAGCGCTCCAGCGGGAAGGTAAACAGTGTTTCTTTGTGCTGCTTGGTTTGCCAGAAGTGGCTTAGTCATGCTGGCCACATGATCCGGAAGCTGTCTGCGGACAAATGCCGGCTCCCTTGGCCTGAAAGCGAGATGAGCGCCGCAACCCCAGAGTCATCCACGATTGGACCTAACGGTCAGGGGTACCTTTACCTTTAAGGAGCTAAACACCACTGAGCTCAGCTGAGCAAGCAGAGGGGCCCTTGATATCTCACCTCTACCTCTGAGGATGCAGCAAGTCATTTACCATGATTACTGAGAACATTTTTTCTTTTGCCAGCTCCCTGCTTACTTCTGTGCTTCTGCCCCTCAGGTAGTAGAAATGCGAGAGATCAGTCCAACAATGGCCAATGGTGAGCACCAGCCTGGCCTGGAGAGCCAGGGGCGAGCTGCCTCCATGCCCCGCCTGGCAGCAGAAACTCAGGTGAGCGCAGGAGGCTTAACTGGCAATGGAAGACTTACAGTAAGTCAGCGATTTAACACCTTCTTTCTGTCTGTTTGTCTGGAAGACCTTTGGGAGGTTTATCAATGTGAGTGCTGCAGTGGGCAATTTGATTATGCATTTACCGATCACATAAAAATTGTGGTGTGATCTGGAGCAAGCATTCCCCGTTACAGACAGCTTCTCTGAGATCCATCCGCAGTCAACAGAAAAGCAACAGGCTCCAGATCCTACTTGCTAGGCAACTTTGTTTGCTGGTTTTGTGGTATGTAAGTATGCATCTAATCATAGGGATCCATAACTTTTCATATATCTATCACCAAAAAGCCTGGCATTCTACAGACTCGGCTTTCTTCAGTAGAAACAGAATTGTACCACATTTCCCCTGAGCCTGCCGGCCTACAGAGCACTCCTCTTTTGCTAAGTTTCTCTTTTTCCACAGTTAAGATAAAGCTACACTTACAAACCTAAACCAGTTTCCAAACCTGTTTAGCCACCCCACCAATGAGTTCTAGGAAGGGGCTGGGACATTCTTCCAACATGAATTCTCAGTAACCTCCTGGAACTACAAGTTCTCATGGTTTTTGTAGAAGAAGATTCAGTGGCTGAAGGCAGCCTCCAACTGTTTTTTAATTTGCAATGCAGACATGCTCCCAGATATGCTTCCAAACCCAATAGAAAATTATATATGTGGAATTCACATGAATCCTGTGGCATAATTAGGTTCAATAAGTAAGGTAGAGTTTTCTAGCTAGCTAAAAGTGGTGAGTACATAGTCCACTGCATGTTGGATCCCCTTACAGTAACTTGGGGCTCATCCACACCTTCATCTGTGCCACATCATCTAAGTCCGTGACTAAGCAGGGATTTTTTTGTCCCACCACTTTCTCCAGGAAAATACTCAGTTTACTGCTGAATCATAACAAACATCAATTCATGTAAACGCCGTTGCCGTATTTTCCACTTCAGCAATGGGACAAAAAACAAAACCCTCCTGCTCAAACCCGGACCTAGAAATCATAGGCCTGTGCCTAGAAAGCATGGCTTAGACTGAGGTATGGATGAGCTCTCAGTATTGGTTAAAAGGTAATGTGAGGCATGACACGAGTACCCTAGACAGCTCTGAACAGCGCTTGGGCTGAATAATGCATAAAAGCAGAGCTCAGAAGTTGCTTCATCAGCAGTTATTGCCAGACTGAGCCATATATAAGATCTGTAACTCAGTACCACCCAACCTCACAGGACAAGAGGATTATGGGGTGTTGTGGCAAACTCACAGTTAGAATAAGGAATAATTCACCAACTGATTCTATTGATGGTGGTCATTGATTTTATTCTAGGCGTGAAACTCTCCTGATTTCAGTTGCATTTCCCAAATTGAATTACTTACTAAGGATCTTCTGCCTTAATAAGAGAACCAGAAACATTTCATCTGCAGGAGATATTTTTTTTAATCCTCCTCTTGTGCTTAGATAATGCAGCCTCAATCATCACCTGTGTGACTGAGCATTGTCTAGTCTTTCATTTCACACACCATTCCATCATTGACACATGGCTGGTGATCATTCTCCAGCTGCTCTTGGACCACTTCAATTCCCAACCCAGACAACAGGATGTCACTGCCCTGGGTTCCTTCAGCTAGAATTAGAGATGTCATTGAAACTTGCATTTCTTCACTTAAAAATGAGGAAAGCTCATCATTCTGACCTCATATGCATGTATTCCTCAAAGGAACAACACAGCATCATGCTGTCTCTCAAACCTCTCATTCCCTTTCTTCAACACAGTCCACCACACCCCTGAGATCCACTTGCTTACCTCCTTGCTTTTCAGTGGTGAAAAGCAGGAGGTTTTGCCATCTTTCGCCCTCCATCACTGGTTGGCTGCATCACAGCCTACCATGAGCAATTGGGCTTGGGAAATATAGTTTCCCAAGGACCACAAACACCCACAGCAAGTGTGGGCTCTCTCATTTGCTGCCACTGGAGCAACAGAAAGGTTGGAAGTGGGTGGGAAGGGTGGCTAGAGCATCATAGGTGAGCTGAAATCTATAACAGAACAGAGCTGACATTTCTCAGAATACGTTTTTTCCCTGAGACACTTTCTGCGATTTTTTCTCACACACACTTTGAAAAAGGCCAAATATTCTCCAACTCTTTTCTTGTGGTAGCTGCCATTCGCACCCACCCCCACCTCATCCCTTAGGGGGGAAACAAATTCTGCTCTGGCGATTGCTAATGGTGAACTCTGACCCCAAGATTTCCTCCTGCACCTAATTTAGCTGAATCCTCACCCCCTGGGTTGTGTGTCCATGCATAGGGTAGAAATTTTAAGAGGTCTCCATCTCATGCTCAAAGCCATGATTTCCTTATTCTTGTTCTCCCTTCCTACATCATGCTAGAGCATGGGTGAGGAACTTATAGTCTGCCCCATGTTGGTGGACTCCAGCTCTCATCAACCCCAGCATGAAGGACCATTTGTAGCCCTGTAAGGTTTGGAGGGCTGTATGTATAATGGGAGAGAGTGAGCAGAAAAGGGATTAAAGAGCAGCTGCTGGTACTCCACCTCCTTCTCAACACCACCACCCCCCCAGATTGAGCCAAATAGGAAACCAGTGATGGGAAGGAGCAGGGGGAGCTACTGCAACTGAGCATTTTCCAGGGACTTTACTAAGCAGTGCCTCCCAGTGCATTACGGTGAACCTTAGCAAGTGATCAACAGTGCTGTCCCCTGGCCCTAAGGCCTGAGTTTCAGAAACTTTTCCATCTGTTAATATTCCGCATGAGTTGGGTGTAAGGCCTCCCTCTGGAGCAGGGATGGGAATCTCTGGCTCTCCAGACATTGCTGGACTCCGACCCCCATCAGCCCCAGCCAACATGCTTGACAAGGTAGGGTGATGGGAAACATAGCCCTCCAGCATCTATAAGGGCCACCCTGTTGGATGTCCCATGCTTGTTGAGTTGGAGTGTGTAAATTGTAGTTCCAGCAACACTTAGAAGGGCCATGGGTATCCACAACCCTGCTTCAGAGAAGTCTGAGGAGATCTAACCTCACTTTCTTCCATTGGAAGTTCCATTTGAATAACCAATCACCAGTCTTGACTCCTCACCAAGTTCCATGGATAACGTTTGACTAACACCCATTTCTGTCTCTTGTCTCTTATTCATCCCCCCTTCCCTTTACCTGTTTGTCTCCCCTCTCTGGTTGCCCCTTCGTCCCCACCCTTTCTTCCCCACCTCTCCATCATCTCGTCTGCCGCGTGCACCTGCTGTGATGTCTGACAATGGCTGTGCTGGTGGGGGCTGCTTCCAATATATTTTCTGTCCGAATTTCTTGCAGAGAGGCAAAGTGCGGTCACCGGGGCGTTACCTGGCAGTATGTAGCTTGCTTGAACTTAAAAGTCGTATCCTCTCTAAAGTCTGTTCAATGAAGGGTGGGGAAGGTTTTTTCCTTTGGGGCAACCTCCCAGGGGCCACATGCAAGTGGTGTGTGGGACCAGAGGCAAAATCTGGGGCAAGCCATAAATGGGAATTCTTCCTTTATACAATAGGTGAGTTTTTACAAACAGCTCTTTCCATCCTCTGTCCCCAGGCAAGCAAGCAGTGTTGTTGGAGTTAAAAGACACATTCCAGCCAGGCAAACACACTCAAGGAGACTATGAAGCAGGAGGAGTGAGGGGTGTGGCCTGGGGGGCATCACAGGGGCCAGATAGAAAGGCTTAGAGGGCTGCATTTGCACCCCAGGCTGTCAACCCTTTTAGCTCCCCTTTCCCCGCTTGGGATGGCAATCTTCCATTATAATGAAGCGTGTTCTGCATTCAGATGCAGAGCCAGCTCCAGATTTAAATGGGCCCTGATTGTGCTGGCAGTGCTCCAAGCCCGGTTGCATCTAGCTGCTATTTAAATTTCCCACAATTCCTCAGAGCAATGGTAGGTAAAGGCCTTGCAGGAAAGTTGAATGGTGACCATGTGCAACCATCCTAAGGACTGTTCAGAGTGTGGAATGCTGCTGTTCAGGATTCTAGCAACTCCATTCCATTTCCTGCTTTTCTGGGTCCCGTCCCCCCATGCCAGCCAGCGTGTGGTGGTCACTGTGCATGCTCAGCCTCATTGGGCTGCTATTTGGTCATCCTTCTCTCACAACAGAACTTCCCAACGCCCCTCTCTATATCTATATTTGTACTTCTGCCGACTCTCAAGATTTATTTATTTATTTCATATATTTCTGTGCCACTTAACACTCTTTAAGGGGTTGAGATTTTCTCTAAGCTAGTTGGCTACCTCGTTCTTGTCCATGGGTGGTGCCATTTTGGCTTCAAGAATAACAATGTTGAATAACATGTTGACCATTGGGAACAGGGGGAGAGGGATAAACAAAATCTCTAAGTGGTTTAAATGATGTTGCAGTGACGCATGGATAAGTGGCTGGGGTGAACATTCTTTTTGGGAGTTGTGTGTTTATAACTTTTAATTCAGAATTTCACAAACTGGGGAAATGTCTGACATGTACCAGAGGCTGTCTGGTTGGAAGTAAGTCACTCTTGGGACTTCAGATACTCCTGGGCTACAGCCCTGGCACAACTTCAGAATCTAAGATCATTCTTGGAATATATCAGATAAATCAGGCTTCCTCAACCTCGGCCTTCCGAGCAGTAGTCTCGTAATCTGGGGAACCGGGTTCGCTTCCCCGCTCCTCCACATGCAGCTGCTGGGTGACCTTGGGCTAGTCACACTTCTTTGAAGTCTCTCAGCCCCACTCACCTCACAGAGTGTTTGTTGTGGGGGAGGAAGGGAAAGGAGAATGTTAGCCGCTTTGAGACTCCTTAAAGGGAGTGAAAGGCGGGATATCAAATCCAAACTCCTCCTCCTCCTCCTCCTCCTCCTCCTCCTCTTCTTCTTCTTCTTCTTCTTCTTCTTCTTCTTCTTCTTTCCCCTTCCTCACCCCAACCTCACCCTGCCTTTGTCCACAGCCCATCCCAGACACAAGCCCCATGAAGCGTTCCATCTCCACACTGAACCCACAGCGTCCCCATGCCACACACCTCTATGAGCATTCCCGGCCAGTGGAGCACACCCACCACCACCACCATCACCGCTGCCACAGGCGGAAAGAGAGGAAACAGAAGTCTGTCGACAAACCACCAAGCCACCTGGCTGATGGTGATGCTGCAGGTGAGGGTACCTTAAAAAACGGGTTGGGTGGGTGTGCTTACATTTCACTACAAACAAGACAGACTGAACACATAGCCTTCATTACCTATCTTTAGGCACCAAGAAAAACTGTTTCTCTTCAACCAGGTGTTTGTGTGATTAACATTCTATGGCTTTTTAACTGTATTTGTGGGAGGATGGCGAATGGTTTGTTTTTCTTTTATTATGTATTTTGTATTCTCATTTCATATTTTTCTATTGTGAACTTCCCCGAGGTCTTCAGAGGAAGGCACTATAAAAATAATAACAACAACGGCTACAAGTACAACAACAGCATCCATATTTTATAAAGGAGGGCTATAAAAAGAAAATGGACTGGGAGGGAGGAGGAAATAAGACAACTCAGGTACAGGTTTATAGGTTGCAATGGTGGAGCTTCATGCTCCGGCACCGGTAAGGGGGTGGAGAGCAGGCGGGTGCATGTCCTGGGGGCGTGGTGCACGTCCTGGGGGCATAGCGTGGGGGCATGGCACCCAGCGCAGGCAGGGGGGCAGCCGCGATGGCACCCCACCAGGATCACACTGCCAGGGGCGGTGCACTTGCCCCCGCATTCCTCTTCCTCCGCCAGTGATAGGTTGCAAGTTCTTCCAATGGCCAGTTGGTATGAAAGAGTTCAAGGGGAGAAGGATTGAAAAGTACTGGTGTTGTATCCAATGTTTGTCCTCCTCAGCATAGATCCATTGAAATTAGTACACCTAAGTTAGTCAATTGCATTATTTTCAGTGGGTCTCATCTGAGTAGAACTAACATTGGATGCAATTCCTGATTTCTCAGCTGAGCCTATGGGGTAGCTCTGTTTCCCTTCCCTTCTCTCCTTCCCTCTGCTATACTCTGATAGGATGGCTGCTGTCAGGTGATGTTCTTATGATTATTGTCAGGGCTAGTACACTGTCACACCTGCAAGAGCCCAGATTCTGTACCTCCTCCACCTCCTGCAAAATTATGTAAGTAAGGGATATACCATACACACTGGGCATCCTGGGTATTTCTGTGTCATCTCAATTTAGTTCAGGTCATGGCCAGGGCTTTCTTGATGGGGGTGCCCAATTTATGAAATTCCCTTAAGAAAGCTGCCTGACAGCCACTTTTTATTTAGGGAAAGCTCAATGTTAGGACATCTGCTTTGCAGAAGGTACAAACCATGGCATCTCCAGGCAGGGTTTACAGAGACCCCACTGTAAAACCCTGGAGAACTGCTGCCAGTCAGGGCAGTTAGGCCTACATTTAAGGCACATTCCCATGTTTCTATGGGAAGCAAGATGCTCTCAGATGGGCCTCTGACACCACTGGGATTTCTTTTTGTTTGATGAGTAGGTGAAGCAACATCCAAAACCAAAAAGCAGGAGAGGGGCCGGTCCCAGGAGCGGAAACTTCACTCCTCTTCATCCTCTGAAAAGCAGCGCTTTTACTCCTGCGACCGATATGGGAGCAGAGACCACTCACAGCCCAAGTTATCAGAGCGCAGTCGGCCAACATCGCCCAATGGAGGGCAAGAGCATGGAACACAGAAACAGGTGAGGAGCCAGAAGGAGGGTGGGAAGAGGGTGGTGGGTACCTTCTACTGATGACTGAGCAACAGATGCCTTGGCCTTTGTCAGAGCTTCAGAAGCTCATGTACAAATTCTTGGCATTTGTCTTAACTTCATGTGGTTGGAGACATCCTGAAGAGAGAGAAGGAGGCTGGTTGGGCAGCAGGTAATGGTTGGATCACTGTTGCTCTCATGTTTGCTTGTACATTTGTGATTCAGTTTAAGCAACTCCTTTGTGGTGGAAGAAAGAGGGTTGTAATTTACCCCTTCCCTTAATAAAATAAAATAAAATATGTGGGGGAAGCCAAAAATGATGGAGAAATAAAAGGGTGTGGTTAAGGCCCCTGCAAGTGAGCGAGTAAAACATTTAGCAAGAGCAATCTGCTCCCCACCAGCAGCCCACTGGGCAGGGAGAAAGAGGGAGAAAGGGTGGCATAAAGAAACTGTGAGAGAGAAGGGGTAGCAGAAAGGAAGGTGGCTCTGCCCATTTAAAGCTATGGCTCTGCCCGTCAGTGGTTCAGCCCTGCTGATTGCAGGAAGGTGTTTTTGTTTTGACAAGTTTATTCCAGCTGGATTGTGGAGAGGCATGGGATTGCGTCTCTGTCTACTCTTGAGTGTTTACTTGTATTGTGTTTAAAACCCATTTTTAGCTGTTCTAGTGTATGGTTGTGAATCACATTTATCTGAAAGGTGGTTCATAAGTTAAATTTGAGAAGGCTGAGCAAACAAGTCCCATAATGTTCAGTAATACTTCTGGTCATGAAGCAAATCTATTGGGCTTTTGAGGCATGTGGGAGGATTTTGTTGGTCACCTTGCCATTCCCATTTGCCCCAGAACTGTCTGCTCTCCTACGTTGTCACACTAACCCACTGGATGTCCCCCCCCCATTTGGAATCCTTTCCTTCTCCAGCCCTTTTGATTTCCTGGGTCTATACCTCTGTTCCAGATTGCTCCTTAACACAGTTGTTCCCCGACTGCACGTCTAAACTCTCTCTTTCCATTTTCTTTCATCTTGTAACATATTCCCCTCACCCTTCTTTTCATGTCACTTGATCTTCTGTTGCTTGGTTCCCCACGATCACCTTCCCTGCCATACACCTCTGCGTTTGTCTGGTGTTCCCCCTCCCCTTCGTTGTTCTTTTTTTCCTTTTTTTGTTCATTTGCTTTGTTCCAATTTTCATGTAGGGCAGTGGTTCAGTTAATGAGAGCCCCTTGCTGTCAACTTCGGGTGCAAGCACCCCGTCCCGTGGCCGGAGGCAACTGCCGCAAACCCCACTGACCCCGCGCCCCAGCATCACGTACAAGACTGCCAACTCGTCGCCTGTGCACTTCTCCAGTTTCCAGACTGGCCTGCCAACTTTCTCCCCGGGACGCTTGAGCCGGGGTCTCTCTGAGCACAACGCTTTGCTGCATGGTGACTCCCAGGGCCCTTCGCAGCCCCTGATGGCCCGGATTGGCTCAGACCCTTACCTGGGGCACCGGGAAGACAGTGACAGTCCGTACCATGCTGTGCCTGAGGACACACTCACTTTTGAGGAGGCTGTGGCCACCAATTCAGGACGGTCATCCCGGACTTCTTACGTCTCCTCCCTGACGTCCCAGTCCCACCAAATCCGTAGAGTCCCCAATGGATACCATTATACACTGGGCCTCAGTTCCGGCCTTGGGACAAGCACCAGAGCACGTAGCTATTACCATGAACGAGATGAAGACGACTGGTGCTAGCAGGAAAAAAAGCCGGAGTTCTTGCACACGAAACTGATGAATATTATACATAAAGCTCTGTGTTTATGTGTGCACACATACGTTCAGCCCCACAGCTTCAGGGCTGAAGGGATAAAGAGGAGGGAAGAAGTGCCTCCTCATGGAACCCCCCCCCCCATGAAGAAGACTTGTCTCTGTGCATGCGCACAATGCTGTCAAGAGACGACGCCTCTCTCTCATACTGAAACCTGTCTGTCCTTTAGTGCTAGAAGGCCCTGGATCAGTAGGAATTGCTGTTCTTTGGAAGGACAGGGCAAGGGAGATCTTGCTCCTCTCTTGTTGCATTGCAGTTAACACCACCCTCTCCTTTCTCAACAATAAAACTGTAAGATAAGCAAAAGACCCGGAGAGAAAACAAAAAAAAACTGTTGAACTTTCTGGGACTGGAGCATCATGCAGTTTTGGATAGAAAGAGGGGAAGGAAGGGACAGTCACAGTTACAAACAGAACCTATCATTTCTCTTGTCCACACTTTAAGAGGCAAAAATCACCCATGACGGCATTGGACTCGACATTTGGCAAGACAAAACCTTTTCAAGGGAGCCAGCAATGGGGCCTTTCGGCTGACAGAAGCCGCCATGCTGCCGTCTGTGACTACTTTGATTGGTTTGACTTCCCATTGACTTTTTGGAAAGCATTCCCTTCACTTGGGAGAGGAGAGCTGTTTGGCAGGCAAGGATGGCTCCCAGCCTGCTGCTGCTCCTACTGTTGACAACTTAAAAATCAGTTCCTCTGTTTTGGATGTGATATGCCCCCTTTCATAATTTTGTCTTGTTTACAATCAAAGCACGAGAGTGAGAGTGAGTGAGAGAGAGAGAGTGAGAGAGAGAGAGAGAGAGAGAGAGAGAGAGAGAAGGGTGGGGTCTGGCAAAAGAAAATGTGTCATTTGGTTTTATATTGAGCTGTTAGATAAACTAACTTTTCATTGTGTGCATTTTTTTTTGTAAATTGTACAGTAAAAGAAGAAGAAACAAACAAACAAGCAAACAAAACCAAGAGTCCTTCACTGTAGAGAACTAGTCCTATTGTCATTCCAGCTCCACTGTTGTTTCATACTGAAGGCGCCAATTCTTCACTACTAAGTGCCTGATCTTAGGAATCTCTCATGGTGAAGACGCAATCTCTTGTTTCCGATGCATCAGGAGGATGCGTGTGGTGGAGCGGGGTGACCCACAAGGAGGGTTTGGAAGGCTTCAAGTATTGACCAGTGCTGAGTCAATATTTCCACATAGATTGGAAGGCGGCCAAGTACAAAATTCTGTGTGTGCTTTTTTCAGATCTTGTTGTGTGTGGGGGTGCAGGGATATTAGAGAGATTTCAACAAGCATCTAGCAACAGGGGCAAATGTTCTTCTGCCAAAAGCAGGACCCTACTGCTCTACACATCTAAGTCTTAACTTGGTTACAGAAGCTCTGGTTGCTCTTCATGGCACATTGTTGGGTGTTGAAGACAATTGAAGAGACTTGTGATTATTGTCCTTTTTTGTGGTGGTTTGAGGGGTGGGGGGATAAAACAAGAAAGCCCCGAGGGAAAACCCTAATTCTGATTCTCAGGGATGAGATTTCTGCTCTTTTTGTCTCTGTGTGTGTGTGTTTCTGTGCATCAGGTGCTTGTTTCCGTGTGTGCGTGTGCTTGAGCACTTTCATGAAAAGCTAAAACATTGTTATTCAAAAAACAAACAAACAAAAATAAAACACCTGCACATAACAAAGCTGAAAGACCCAGCCCAACCTGAGGAGGGCAACATTCTATGTTTTGAGAGTGAGCAGAGGAGAGAGGCAGTGATAAGGAAAGAGACTTGCAGGGAAAAGTGACCCCATCACAAGCAAGACAAGAAGCTGTCATATACAAGTACATTTAGATTAGTCATGGGACAGCTCTCTGGTGTTCCAGGCGGGAGGGAAGTGTCTCTCCCCGTCCTACCTGGAGATGACAGGGATTGAACCAGGACCGACTTAGGCACAGCCTCTTTCTGCACCTTAAAACTATCATGTGCTTCATACAGGCACAATTGTGTGGCCGACATTGTCTGTGGCTCCTTGCCAGGGTTTAACACTTTGGGAGCAAATCCAGGTTTGTCCCCCTTAATGTCTGAAATAACTCTGAGGGAGGAAAGTGGGGCAAAATCCTCTCAGGGCTGAACTACATAGGACATTAAAATGTGCCTTTGTTTAACCCTTGCCTCCGTATTGGGAGGAGATTCCCCCTGTCCTGCCATTTAGCACCTTTGGAGAAGGAGGAGTGGAATTTCTTTCGGCTGTGATCATGGTGATTTTCAAACCAAACCTTGACATTATTTGCATATATTTTTTTAAAAAAAAATCACTTGCAGGAGTTAAATGTTAAATGCAAATGCACATTTAAATACATATGCTAAGCTGCACATTACATGTTATTGAGTGCAGGGGGGTGGTAGTCAACACGATGGCCTAGATATGTTGTGAACTCCCATCAGCCCCAGCCAGCATGGCCAGTGGTCAGGACTGGTGGGAGTTGTTCTCCTTTAAGATGCGATGGCTGCCACATTGACGTTGCTGCATAAAGAGCAAAGCCACTTTTGCAGGGCGGGCGGGCAGAGAAGCAGCTGGAGAGAGGAGAAAGTGGATATTTAACTCTTTCTCTGTGTTCTCTGAAATGCTACAGCTCTAAGGAAAGGGGAGTTTGAATTGGGTCCCTTCCCGTTTCTCCCATCTTGCCACATCTCTGCTCTAAATCTCCCCGCTCCTTAAAAACTGTTGCCAGGGCTTTCTTATCCAGCTTTCTCAGATTGGGCTAAAAAGTGCTTTCCCCAAGGGAAAGCAGCAGGACAAAGGAAGTGTGGCTAAGCCCTGGGTTTACACAAATGACATTTCCAAGTAGGGTGAATGTCAGTTTCCTCTCACTGTCCTAGGGTATATGATCAGTCATGTGACAAAGGGATAGACAACCTGTGGATAAAACTTATTACTGCAGTTTTCTTGATCTTGGGCAGCTCCAGGAAAGTGAGCCCTGTGGTCATGAAAGCTGCAGAGGTATCCGTGCATCTTTGCTTCATTCAGTATCATGGACTAAAATAAAAGTAGGCCAATATGTCTTACTGATGTTGAATTCCAAACGCCCATCACCCAAGGGCATTGCTTGTTCTGGCTGGGACGATGAACTCCAACTAAGCTCTACTCGGTGTAAGCCCATTGAAGTTAATGAGCCTAAGCTGTGCCCATCCATTTCAGCGGGTGTACTTGTGAGTAGGACCAGCACTCAACAATGCCTGGAGGGCACCCAGGAGTCCACCCTTGGACTGAAATGTCCCTGTGAACTCTACATGGGACACATTTCCCTATGATTTCTGTACCTTGAGGCAGCTGGGGAGGCTGGTTTGGGGGAGGAAGTTGAAAAGAGATGTGGGAAGAGGCTGCCCTCCTCCCTCAGATGGGTTTGTTTCCTTCATTTGTAACCAATGTCTGTTTCTGAAGCAAATGATTTCAGATCCACATGGTTGCAAATGAGTCTTTCCATAGTTTTGCCTCTTCCCTGGGAAGTTCCTTAGGAGACTACCTTGTGTGGTTGCTCAGTTCTCCCCTCTGCTTCCTGGTTTGTGTTAAAAATAATGGACTGGATCAAAAGGGTCCCTTCTGTTAATGGAAATGAATCTTTCTCTCATACAAGCAGCCCCTCCATTTGAAGGATCTCACGAATCTTTGGATCTTAACCACAGTGCCTCTTAGTCCACTGTGCTGGAGAGGTTTTTCTTGTCAGAAAGAGCAAGTAAAATATGATCTGTTTTTGAAGGCATTCCCTTTTTAATCTCTACGAACTGATGCATTATATTGTCACTAGGTGCTGCTACAAGTGCAGTTAAGTGCAGTTACTCAGAAGCAGGAGAACTGCAAGAGAAATCAGAGGAAAATACCAAATTTTGCTAGAGAAAGCTGGTTTTGTTTTTAAATTGTCCCAACCTTATTTGAGCATCCTGCTGTTATCTACTCATGCCTGCATGTTAAGAAACCCATTTGACTCAACTTATAATCAGATTTTTAATATCACACTCAAGTATTGAGCACCGCTAACACCATAGCCTTTCGGGGGCCTATCTAGTTATAAATTGAGTCAAAGGTGTTTCTTAACATGCAGGCATGAGTGAGGACAATGCTATTTACAACATTATTCTCTTTAAAAAGAGCATCTTCCAAGTTCAAAGCTATTCTCAACTATTTCATAAAAGAGGAAGCCGCCACCATTTAAATAGGAGGCAGTTATCCCAAACCATTACTGGAACAATGTTTCAACCACTACATTTTTTTAAAAAAAGAAAAATAAACGCTGATAAACCAATTGGCCAAGGAAATATAAATACTTCACTGTACCTTTGAAATTGTCCTATTTTTCCCCTAATGATAATTTGTTCTCTCAAGACACTTGGGATAACTTTCTGTAGCATTGTTAGAGGTTTTCCTCATGTATCAATATTTCTTCAGATTTCACCAAAGTGACATCTAGTGACAGATCAAAAGTATAGCAAACATTATGATGCAGTATTTTTTAAAACACCAGCCAAAACAGGAGGTGAGACTACCGGGGAAAAGAGTCAGCATCATATCCCAGTATATTCCAACCACAAAAAGAGCTAACTGCAGATTTTGATAGTTTAATTTCACCTTAAGGTCGCACTCCGTGCAGAATGAGCAGCAGCCTGGGCAAGCCAGGGTTTGGGTAGGATTGCTTATTTGACAGGCTGTTTTATTTTAAAAAAAGGATTGATTCTGTAAGACAGCTTGCTTAATGTGTTGGGATTGTTAAACAGAACATGGCATCCTACTGATGATGACAAAAAAAGGCCCAAAGGGGGAAATGGAGGAATAGTGAAATGACCAGAGGCAGGTCGACATGGCGCACACACACGCACACACGCCCCAATACCACCTCAAGGCTTTACTTCTAGAGTATTCTGACCTTTGTTTTGTTTTCTGATTTTTGACCAATCTCATCCCTGGACTATATTCCAGCACACTCTTCTCTCTCGATTTCTCTCTCTCTCTCTCTCTCTCTCTCTTATTAATCCACATATAATTATGCATACAGAAACTTCATTAACCAAAAGAAAAGAACAGAAAGGAATGGTTAATAGATCATAGATGTGATTTTTTTTTAAGCAAACAAACAAAAACACTGTAGGGCTATGCAACAAGATGACACTTTTCACAAATCAAATCAAAAATGGAAAAAGAGGTGAGCAAACTTTTTTAAAAAATAATTTTAAAAAAACATAATCCATTCCACAGCTTTTATATGTTGGGTTCCACAACCCCCACCCCACACACTTTTCCTTGTCTCAAGCTACAGCATGACCGTGACCAAACATTTTTCTACATTTTACATATAGAAAAGGCACAAAACTTTCTTGGAAATTTTAAAGGGGGGGGGAATACTCCAATAAATAAAATGGGAGGAGAATAGCCCTCTCTGAGCATGCATGCAAAATATTGAGAGCTGAAGATAAATGGCTTTAACTTTTATTTTGGTTTATCCTTCCTCCTCTATTCTTTCTTTCTCTCCCACGCACCCACGCACCCCCACACCAACCCCATATGAATCAATTGGATGTGAGAGCCCCACACAAATAAAATGGAGGCGCTTCACATTTGCAACTTACATGTGAAATGTGAATAAATAAATTATTGCATTAGAAGAAGATTAAGGCTGGGAATCCTCGGGGGAAGGACGTGTGGGTGGGTGGGTGGGTATTGGGAGAAAGGAGCATGGTGGGTTTTGAATATATTGTTGCCACTGCAAATACCTATCTCAGTGGTTGACATATCCAACCTTCAATTTGCAAACAGCCCTAAATGCTGTCTTGCTTTCAATGCACATGAAGGTTCCAATACAGTTGAAGTTAGCCATGGCTAAGTCTCATCTAAACAAAAGAGGTGCCATTGGAGTTTGGGAGCAGAGGTCTAGATTCCTCAGCAGAATTCTCAGGGCTGAGAATACCACATTTTGAAAGAAGACACATCACTGTCTAGGAGGAGAGGGTCCCATTAAGTCCAGAAACTTAAAAGTACCCAATTCCCCCATTACTTTAAAAAAAAAAGAAATCAGCAACGAGACCCAAGTTAGCCGCAACAGGTTTATTCTGTCGGTTTCAATGGGACATAGCCAGAGCTAACTTTTGCTAGAGCAGAGGTCAGGGATTTCCCAGAACCCCCTTTGTGCATTGCCAAAACTTTAAATGCAACAACCCATTTTCTGCATCCAGAATAAGTCTAGTGGTGGCTGTACTTTGAATAAGTAACATTTGCATGTAAAATATATACATATTATATAAATATATACATACATATATATAAATCTATATATATATAAAGTATGTGCATGGTAAAAATGTTTATCTTCGTACTTTTTGATACGATGTATTCATCAGTTGTTAATTTTTAATTATATTTGATATGAATTGGGGGGTTTGTTGCAAAATTTATATTTAAAAAAAAAACAGTGTTTAAAAAAAAAAACCTGAAGGGAAGTTCCAAACATGCAACACAACTGGAACTTTGCTTGGGGATTTGATGGGGAGGGCTGGGAATTCTGTGATTGAATAGTTTGCTGCCTGAGTAATATTTATCAGCCAAACTTTGGATTCTGCAGTTGTTTCTACAATTACATTTTGTATGAAGCAAAGTCCTTGAATTAAAATAATAAAACCTTAGGAAAAGAGTGCTAACTGAATGTGGTGTGTGCCAAATGGCAAAGAGATCATTCTGTGCTGTTTTGTGCTTATCCCTCTCCCCCACCCAGGAATCCAGAAATCACATTTATATAAAGTAGGGGGGGTTACAAGTAAAATAAAAACAGCCATAGCAGTGAGAAACATATGGTAGCTGAAATGATTTTTGGATGAGAAAAGTCTAAAGGAGGTAGCCACTTAGAACTAGTGATGTTGACGAAGTTCTTGTGTGACTGGCACAGAGTTTGAATTTGTTTGGCCCACGATGCCCAGCACCACTGCAGATAAAAATAGCACTTCTTTGAAAAGTTACCTGGCTTGGATTGGTGACTAGCAGTGATATTTTTCCAGAAAAAGAGGTGCTGGAACCCACCATGAAAAAACTCCCATGTTCTCTTATACAGTGGTACCTCAGGTTAAGTACTTACAGTGGTGCCTCGCAAGACGAAAAGAATCCATTCCGCGATTCTCTTCGTCTAGCGGTTTTTTTGTCTTGCGAAGCAACCCTATTAGCGGCTAAGCAGATTAGCGCTATTAGCGGTTTAGCGGCTTAGCGGCTATTAAAGGATTAGCGGCTAAGCTGCTAAAAGGCTATTAGCGGCTTAGCGGCTTTGAAAAAGGAGGGGGAAGCGGGGGGGAAATCGCAAGACTAGCAAGACATTTCGTCTTGCGAAGCAAGCCCATAGGGAAAATCGTCTTGCGAAGCAACTCAGAAATGGAAAACTCTTTTGTCTAGCGGGTTTTCCGTCTTGTGAGGCATTCGTCTTGGCGGGGCACCACTGTAATTCGTTCCGGAGGTCTGTACTTAACCTGAAACTGTTCTTAACCTGAAGCACCACTTTAGCTAATGGGGCCTCCTGCTGCTGCCACGCCGCCGGAGCACAATTTCTGTTCTCATCCTGAAGCAAAGTTCTTAACCTGAGGTACTATTTCTAGGTTAGCGGAGTCTGTAACCTGAAGTGTATGTAACCTGAAGCGTATGTAACCCGAGGTACCACTGTAGTGGCAATGGCACCCATCTAAGAGGTGGGTTCTGGCTGGAAAAACAAAAACAAAGCCCTGATGATTAGGTACTTGTAGCACATACCTCCCTGGCAACTTGTACACTGTCATGACTACATTACGAAATAATAAACTGGGGCGATTTTTATTTTTTTTTGATCAACTCAAGGTAAGTATGGGTATGCCAAGTTCACAATCCCATTGCTTTGACCCACCAGATCTAGAAGAAGGGGTGCAACCATTAGCAATGTCACTTAAAGAATGCCGATGGAATCCAGAGCAGAAAGTCCTGATAGCATTTTACCAAGAAAACTGTTTAGCCATAGGACATCATTGTGACCAGTTATTTATCAACACTGAACTACAGGAAACACGAAGGAGTAATCCAATGCCCTGCTGTGATTCAACCTAAACCAAAGCAGTGAAGCAGTCCCAGCCAAATGAATAGTCTAGTATTAAAAGTATTGTATAAAATATTGTATAAAAGTATAAAAATAAAATATTGTAGTTAAGGTGAAGCCTTATACTGTAGGAGACTGCTTCTCAATGTTCTGGGCCAAACAACATCTGAAACTGCTGCTGGCCACATTATTGGACAATATAGATCTAAAATTAGTTAAGAGAATCTCAGATAATTGACACAATAAACAATTCTTAGATTTCTTAAGTCTACAAGAGGCTTGGCAAGCTATAATTGCTACTTTCCTTTAAGGGAGGGACAGCAACTGGCAACTTAGTGTGTTATATTTCAACAAATCTTTCCATTTTGGTTTATCACATTTTTCCAATCCTAATTCAGTTCCCCACATTTACAAATCAGTGCAATTTTAAAAGAAAAAAAGTTCCTCATGAAAATTCATCAGCATTTTAGTGCAAATTTCTCCTAACACAAATTTTTGTTTACAGTTTTGCCCAGTTCACACATTTCTGCAAATCATTTCCCCTTAATACATTTTGTATGATATTTCCACTAATATATGCATTTTAGTGCACACTTTACTGCAGTAACATGCAGTTTTGAATATGTTTCTTGGCTGGAGAACTGTGCTGTACAATCTGGAGGAGTGTCACTGTAATTTTCCCAGGATGCATGAGCTCTCAGTGTGTTTCACAGGGCCCCCTGCTTGCTCAGCACCATTCCAACTGCACCAGCGATTTGGGGTTCAAATTTATGTATTTGGGCTTATGAAAAGGAAAATGCTATTTTTACAGGGGGTGGGGGGTGCTAGAAATTGCTTGTTTTTTTAAAGCCCAATAATAACTAAATACCAAAATGAGATGGCAGAGTTATGTGGCAGCAGAGACTTGAGAGTTAGAATGAAGGATGAAATCTGAAGGCTCCTCAGAGGTAAGTCACACCAAATTCAATTGATATAGGGCTACACACCAACATATTTACTATAGCCTAAGATTTTGTGCACTGTATCTCATCAGATGAGAGAGAGACAGAGGGAGAGGGAGAGATGGGCCAGGAACCATGCAGCAAACCAGTCACATAACCACCAGCATCCTGCTAATAAAAATCAGGGTGCTCAGTGTTTTGGTTCCGAGCTGTTGCAGAAGCCAGCCGATTTGTGT